TGTAGGTCTATAATATGGGAAGAGAGATGGGGCCAGGGAAAGCTACTTGATAAAATCAACAGGAGACTCATCTTTCTGTGGGGTAGGGGCATTTTTCCCACTTGGACACACTGGGTTGCTTTCTCATTGAGATGGTGAGGATGGTGTAATGAGAGCTGAGAAGTCTGTTTAAGTCTGGGAGTCACAAGAGATCAACAACTCCTACAGTTTAATCTTTATTACCTTTAATCCACTTAACATCAACTGGTTTAACTCTGTTACTAGCTCAGTCCATTAAGGTCATTAAAACTTTCTTTGCTTTGATTTAACCGCTTGTGTTTTGCTGCTTCTAGTAGGTGAGTGTCCTTGTATCCTAATGTGGAGTATGTTATGGAAACTAATGATCCAGGTCTGTTGTAGCCACTTGGACAACTGTTTGTGTCTTTAACGATTCAGGAGAGAAGTGCCTTTAGGTGCTGTCGTAAGCAGTCTTGTGAATCTTGAAAATCAATGAGAAATGAAGTTAATTTTAATTTATACTGACAGCACTCCCTATTACTTAGGTTGCTAAGCATTTCCATTGCATGAGCTCGGATTGTTTGTGGAGGGCAGGTGTAGGAATTGCTCTGGGTTTTTTTTCCTGTTCAAAACTTTGTCAAATACTTATGCTGAGGGGTTTTGGAGGTTTTTTCTTCCCATTCTGTGCATCCAACTAAATTTAAATTGCTTAGGAAAATTCAGTCAAAAAACAGCAGTGAAGAATGGGCTGATGAGAAGATGGAAGAGGAGACCGGAGAAATGTGTATTCCTTTGCCTGTATTCTGTTGTTCTGAACAGCAGGTTGTTCTGTGAGAAGAGCTTCCATTGCTCTGGCTTGAAACAGGAAATTGATGTAATGACCAGGGCTCAAATTAAGAAGCAGAATTAGCTGATCAAAGACTGTGGGGCAGAGAGGCACAGGAATGAGGAGAGGTGGAGTATGGCAAAAGCAGCCTAGGAAAAGAAGGATGAACAGAATCTGAGAAGTGAGAGAAACCCAGGCTCCGAGAAAGCAGGATTTGATAGACAAGACTTGCTAGCAAGGAGAATAGGATCATCAGAGTGGGAGAAGCCCAGAACTGGGATGGAAGAGCTGGGCAGAAAACCTCAGGCTTGGGGCTAGCAGATTCCCACAAAGTACATCTCTTCCAGAACCTAGAGGAGGACCCAAGGTGTTTTCCTCTCATCCTTCCTTTGTTGCCAAGCAAGCAAGCTGGCAAGGCATCCTGCTCCCCCTGCAGCACTAGCAGGTTGCACTTTCTCTTTGTTGAGTCAAGTGGTGGAGGCCTGTGCAGAACTGAGGGTTCCAGGTCTGGTGTCAGCATTGCATCAGTGGCAGGAGGCATTTGTCTGGCTTCCTGTTGGTAGGAACTGAGGAAACTCCTGTCCTTTCCTCAGGGTCTTAATACTCTCATTTTAACATCAGATGAAGCACTCAGGGTTAGGGAATGCTTGTGTATCGTGTAACTTTTGCTCTGCAACATACCTGTTTTTCCACACAAAACATGTGCTTCACTCAGTGAGAGAGAAGCTGTGTCCATATGATGCACTTTTTGTCTGGCTTGCTGCAGAAGGAAAAACATGGAGTGTGAGAGTCAGGGAATTACTTGAAGGAAATGGCTGTAGTAGCCACAGGAGCATGATGTGATCCTCCAGGCCTGCTGAGTTTGTGTGGTGTTGGACTAGTCATTTTGAGCTAAACTTTTCAAAGGCTGTCATTAGCTGTCGCACCTAACTTGTTTGAGATGCTCAGTTCTACAGCCTGGAAGAAGATTGGTGGAAGTACTGCATGCTCTTTTCTGAAGCATAGGTTTTAGGAAGCATTTTGTAGGCATCTCAAATCAGGTACTGCTCAGATCAGCAGATACTTGAGCTGAGGTCCAGTTTTTGGCACAACAGTAAATAGGTTTGAAATGGATAGGAGTAAGTTAAGGTTGAAAATGAAATAGTTTATAAGTATGAGATTAGTGAGAGTCTGGGGCAGTATCCCAAAGAACAGAGTGGAAGGATGACACCTCGTTGGGCTGGAGGTGAGGCTTTTGAACCCTTTGAGAAGGATGTGAGCAGGACCTGGGCTCTGATTCAGGGGGCTCTACCCAGTTGAATGTGTTAATTATAGCAGATGCAGCACGCACGGTTGGTCATCGTGCAACCAATGCATACGGGCAGTTGACCTTTTCCTTCTCTCAAGTGAAATCAAGTCATTAGGAATTACCTCTCAATATCCTGGCCCTATACTTCAGAACTTGAGCTGCTTTAATCTTAGTATGCCTTGGGGAGCCAGATTACCAGTGTGTCTCCCCTGGAGACTCTGGGAGGAGATGAGGAGATCTCTTTCAGATGGGTGGTTTTTAACATGCAGCCAAAGAGGTCTGTTGAGTGCCTGAGCATGTGTGCAGAGGAGGGGATATGTGCACCCTCCATTAGTATTTCCAAGATGGAACAAAGAGTCATGTCTGCTTGCTCCAGGATATCTACTTTCCTGGTTTATGCAGCATATTTGAGTGGAAAACTCAGTTGTGTAAGGGCTGAAGGAAGAAATACATCATCGGAATGGGAGCATTGCCATTCTCAGCCTTTGAAGGGCCTCCACTTTATGTTTGTCACATGCAGTTCATATCTGTAAGGAACATGTGTCACCACTGGTGTGATATGCCATGTCATAAAAGCTCTGGTGACATTTAGTGACCTCTTAAAGTCTAACAGAAGAGGCTTGCAACATATAAATGCCATCTGTCACAGCAAAGTAACTTCCCAGTTCTCTAATAGTATATGTGTCTTGTGAAATGCTGCATCACCTCAAAAAAAACCCAGCATGTTAATGGAGGAAACTTGTCATTTCACTCATTCCCAGATTCTTTATATAATTCATCTAGTAACTTCTTTTGCTTATGAAGAGCCCTGGTGGAAGTTGCGGCTATCTAAGATAGCTTTAGAAGTTCTGTTTCATTAGAGCTGTATTTACTTTCTGATTTGGTGGTACTCTGAATTGGAACTGTTCTCCCTATGATCTCAGTCTTTTGCAAATACTCATGGGGTTCACAGATGGAAGTGTGAAAAGTCTGAGCTGCCTTGGGAACATGTAACAGGACTTTTGGGGGGGTGTAAAAAGAGAGAAGTTTTCCTCATTAACCTGTGTTTGTTCATTGAGTCCATTATGGGAACTCGGATGATAACCTCAGAGGTGGGCTAAGGAGACCAAGGTTCAGCTTCAGTTTTTGCTGGTCTGACAGCCAGTCTGACAGGTTTTGAATCAGTAGGGGCAATTTTTACAGCCTGACAATATAAGCAGAGTGTTTCATGCTTGGATGGGAGAGAAGAGCACTTTATCCACTTGTCCTGTACTTTGCATACTGCTGCTGTTGGGTGTTCTAGCTTTTACATGTGGCTAAAACAAACTTGCTAAAGAGAGTTTGCTGCAGGAAATGTGTACATATTACAGGGAGAGCACAAACACAACACGCTTGCATAAATTCATGACTAACACTGAGCAAAAGCCACTTCAGATGGTGCCGAGATAGGAAAAACTGCATCTCTACAGACTGTGGTGAGAGGCAACAGATCTACCTCTTCTCGTAAACGGTACTTGTTTTCCAGGAGGCATTGTCTAGCCCTCACGGCCCTCAGTGAAGAAGTTAGGTCTGGTTTTATTGCTGTATTACAGGCAGAGGAGGAGGTACCCTGAAAAATTAAATGACAAGACTAGCAAACCTCTGTAAGCAGCAAAACGTGACACGAGAAGCCCTGGCTTGCCAGCCTGTCTCATTACATCATACCCTGTGTACGCTGGGAAACCCCAGTCTTTTGACTGTGTTTCTACATGGCATTGGTGAGATAGCAGGGTTCAATACTGAGACTTACTGTGATTTTTAGACATAAGCTTATCATTTCCCTGATATGGCATATCCTCAAGCTCCCTATTGGTATAAATGTCTTCACTGGGGTATTGAGAGATGATGCTAAATGTGCATAGGTGTCACAGAATGGATAAATTAAAAAATCACACGTGAGCAAGAGAAATGGAGAAGCCTGTGAGCATTGCTCTGGATGTAAGTGTCCTGAGGAGGCAGTGTTACCTTCTCAGTCCACTGTTTGCAAGGGTAAGTCATTACACTGTGCTGCTCCCCTCACAGTGGGCCATATGGTAAGGTCCTACTGTGCATGTCCTGCCTCAAGCATCCTACTCACAGGTGGAGCGATGAAACTGAAAAGCCTCCTGTGCAGGAGTTCAGTAGGGGCTCTTGTAACTGCATTGCCATAGAACCATTTCAGTTACCTTTATGTTTGACCTGTTTTTATGGATCCTGATGAGGTCTGTAAACCAGTCTTGACTGCCATTCACACAGTTCTCATCTTGACATTCTTAATTTCAGTCAGTTAGTATGGGGGTGAGGTGGGATAAGTTTTTATGGTTGCTGCTCTGCATTAATGACTATTTTGCATGTTTTAGCCCTCAAGCAGAAGGAGAAGCCATCTTTTTGCATTAGTCACAGAGTGAAAATGGTTATACGAGCAGTTACTGCAGGCTGTTTGGTGCAGTTTGAAACTGCACCCTATTTCATTGTGAAATTAGCCTGTTCTTGGGGCCTGGGAGATACCAGTGCGAGCCCCTGAAACAGACAATACTTAAATTCCTAAGAGTATATTGTATAGCTTTTTATCACAGCCCAGTCATAGCTAACATTGAAAATGTGTATCAAGAAAGAGGGACTGAGATTAGGAGATGTCTCAGTAGAGGTACTGCCGCACATCTGGGCTTTTCAGAGTGAGAAACTGTACCCAGCTGGGTATTGCTGGGTGGCATCAAAATGCTTGCTTTGTCACCTGCTTAGAGTAATAGCCAGGTACACTGTGTGTGGGGAAAGATTGTTGGGGGGAAAAGCTATTTAGCAAGGAAACAGCAAAGTGCTGCTGTTCTAAAGGCTGTACAGAGCCAGGCCTGCTGCTTTCCTTCCAGTGCTTAGCAACTTCTTTCCTTTTAGGAACCTTCCGATGTACTTTCTGCGAGACTGAAGTGGAAGAAGATGAGTCGGCAATGCCTAAAAAGGATGCAAGGACACTGGTGGCAAGATTCAATGAGCAGATTGAGCCCATTTATGCTCTGCTTCGTGAGACAGAAGACGTTAATTTAGCCTATGAAATCCTGGAGCCAGAACCCACAGAGATTCCTGCCCTGAAGCAGAGGTAGGAATGCACCTGGTCTTCTCTCATTGTGCTGTTTCCTTGTACTGCATTTGTCTGCCCTGTGAGGCTTTCCCAAACCTTGCACAGCCTTTGCCTGCATTGAGGGCTTACTTTTTCAGCACCAGCTATGCAAGCAACTGACTGATTCCCCAAGGAATGTGTGATTTATAAGGAGACAAAGGGCCATAACCATTTTTTACTAGACAAGGCTAAGTACTGTTCCTCTGGTCAGGTAGTTTGTGGGGTGCAGTACTCAAATGACCTGCCGTTTGGTGTGCTGCAGTTGGTATGTACACTAAACCCTTGCCCAGTACTTAAGAAAAGGAAATTGCAACCATTTGGCAAAGCTCTGAAAGTGCCATCTGCACTGTCTTCTTTCTTTCAAGCCCTTACCTTTCATCTATTCCTTTCTCTTCTAACCAGCTTTTGAAACTAAGTTAACTGCATTCTATACTTTGCGTTTCGAATACACATATAACAACATTCTAGTTAAAGGTATTGCTTGTAATAAGGGTGTTTTTTATTTCTGACTTTCTCCTTGTTATATGCCTCTTACTTTTTGGGAGGAGGCCATGTTATAGTCAAAAACTCTTTTAAATGCTGCTACCCATGGGGAATGACACTTTCTTTCAGAACATTCCTAGCTGTACAAAAACAGATGATGTTTAAATAATGCAGCAAGATGTGGGGAGCTGTCAATTTTGTCAGCTGTGGTGAAATGTGATGCACTTCTCTGTGTTTAAGAAAGAAATTAATTTAACACGTGGAGGGGGAAGGGAAGTACCATGAGGGAAGCATTCCTTGAGGTGCCTTGAGGTGCTTGGCAGTATGCTCTTTCTTTTCTTTCAGGCTAACCTTGAGATATAATGTTCCTCAGATATTCAGGCTAGACAGTTTTTAATTAATATAGAAATGAACGTTCTGTCTCTCCATAGTCTTCCTCTAGCCATGAAGGTGGCTAGTTTTCCTCATCATACTGATAGAAAAACAGAAGCAATATAGAGAGGAAGAGGTTTTTCCAAGGTCACTCAACATGTCTTTGGTGATACAGAGGGTATTGGAAGTCTTTATGCCCAAGCTGAATCACTAGACTTTGCTTTAAAAACCCTTTTCTGTAGTTTAAGTAGTAGAACTGGGATAACCAAAAAGAAAGTGATTTCTTAAGTCTTTCCCTTCTGTGCACAGGAAATTAGCACAGCAGAAGCCTGGTGCAGTCCCATGATTAAATAGCAGCACCCACTAACTTGACTCTTAAGTACTTAAAAAACATTGTAAAAGATTAATTACTCTGTGCAGAGCATGACAAAATAAATAGGCAGCTTTTTAAATGCTTACTTGGGCACAACTTGCTTCAGCACATACAATGATTCAATTATTTATCAACACTTACTAATTCAAAGCAGCTAATTGCATGAAAACACTGCTGTGAGATTTTTATTTTGGGAGGGGGTATTTATTCTCTCTGTTTTTATGGAGTCTTGAGTGTCTGAAATCATTCACAAACCTGACATCCGGTGATGCTGAAACAAGCAGGAAAGGTCACGGATTGCCTGTCTCTCCTCTTTGCACTGAGGCAGGCACCTTCACGTGCTTTCAGAAGAGTTACAGCCCTAAGCGACCACCTTGACATTGCATAACTGTCATTCACCTGCTGTGGGAAACTGGGCAGATCATCATTTAAATCTTCATAAGAGGCCATTAATGTTCTTAATCTTGACAGAGCATGACTTAGCCCCACAGCCTTCGAAACAAACCTGCTTAACCTGAGCCCTTTGTGTGGTTTTCTAAAATAGATGGATTCTAATAACCCTTCCATTTTCTTATGTCAAAATACCATGATTTTATATAACAAAAATCCTCACAGAATCGATTTGCTGCGGTCATGCTATCAAGGGCCATGGGTTCTCTGTTGTGAAGTTGAAGCTCTTAAGAGCAGCAAAGTGAAAAGGCGCGAAAGGAGTTATCCCTGTTATGCAAGACCTTTTCTTAATAGTCTGGGCAGGATTCAGATGAAAATTTCAAGTCGTTTCCCCACTGCACCGTGTGGTTTCTGTGGGCCATACCTCAGCTATGCCAGGGATTATTTATGTTGCCTTTAAAGGCAGCTGAACACTGATGAAGGGATTTCCATAAGGGTAAAACAACCAGAGGGTAACAAATGAGCTGCATGTGGGCCACTGAGCTGCCACAGTTCCTGATTGCAGGATGGCCATGTAAAGTCTAGAACTAGATGAGAAAAAGCAGATCTTGGATCTGAGAGAGAGATAGATTTAAGAGTGCACTCCCCTCACCTGCTCTGTGCAGCCTGCAAGGCACTGGCCTTTTTCTGGTGCCCAATCCACAGTGTTTGCATCTATACTTTGGAACAGGGCTGCTGAACAGTCAGATCTGTTCTTGCAGTAAGGAATATTCCCCTGGTTGTGTAGTCTTAAAGCACTGCACCCTCCAACCAACAGTGTCTCTGAAGGTGCAGAGGAAGCTCACTGGGATCTGAAAGTAGACAGAACATGTCAAGATGGTTCCACCTAAGTGTGGGACATTGAAGTAGATGGCTTCAAGTAATTAGTAATGTAGGTGTCTCTTAGAGTTATTACTTTCACTTCTGAAATGTTCCTGACTTCACATTTTGCTGCTAAATGATACCACATAGGAAAAAAAGTCCATTTCAGGCACACTTACAAGGATCTCAGTGCAAAGGTATTATCAGGCAGCTCCTGGCACTGCTGAGTATTTAGCTGTCACCCTGCAGCCGTGGGGAGGGAGAGCCTGGGAGAGAGTTGCATTGTGTATCTTATGAGGAAAGTGGATTACATAAAATCGTCAGGGAGATGCTAGTTGGAGATATCTATTGTGTGGGAAGCAGAGAGGTGCTTTTCACAGAACCACACACATGCCTGTCTTGGAGAGCTGAAAGGTAACAACACTTGAAAGAATGCCCTGGGAGGAAGGTCTCTGTGTGTCTCCTTAGGTTATATAAGCAATACAGGTGTATGAGACTTCTGCCCCAAAATTTGAGGTGGCTGTGAAGCTCTCCTAGCAGGGATGGCTGCAGGAGAGAACTGGCTACTGTGTGGGCACATGCTAACATGAGTGCCGTGGAGTATTTTGGTAACAAACCCCAGCAAGCTCACTACTGGGAAGCTGTGAGTACCCCTCAATCCAAACCGTGGCTGAACACACCAGTATTGTTTTCTGGGGAAGAGAAATCACCACCTATCTGCATATTTTCCCCTGCCAATTCAGCAGAATTAGCCCAGCAAGCAGTGGTGAAGCCCTTGCTGCATTTAAAATACTGCATATTACTCAAGCCTTCTCCAACTGCAACCTTATTTAAGCTTCTCAGTTGGAGGAAAGGTTGGTGGGTAGGTAGCAGGAATTGAATGATGCTCACTGATGAGAGCTGTCTGCTCAGCTGGCAGCAGGGCAGGGATGCTGAGTATCCTTGGTAGATTTGCTTTGGACAAGAGGAAGAGCCCAGGCAGAGCTGTTAGCTGTGAAAAGCAATAGGCACCACTGGCAATCAGGTGCCTGAAATAGTATGGTTGAGGGTGGGTGCAGTCTGCAGAGAGGAGCGTGTTTCCATTCAGCTGCTTTCCCTTACCAATGCACAAGTAACAGCACAGGCCACAGAATGCCTGTGCTCCTTGCCATCGCTGTGCAGAAAGTACTCCACCTGGCATCCTCTTTCCATCAGATCCAAGCAGGAATGTTTCTTTCCTCTATCAGTCTCCTGAGCTAGAAGGGACCCTAGAGGAAAATGTGCTGGCTGCAGCTCCTCTCAGAAAACAGGAGGCCTAGGCTTTGACTGCGTACCCTTCGCATCAGTGATACCCTTTCTGTCTCCAGCTTTTCTACAATGAAGATAGCTCTGGCTTGCCTCCTCCCACACACCATCACCACAAAAACCCCTTTGGCCAGTCCTCTGGTTTAAGGGTGCCCTCTCATCTTTGTTCTCTGCCTGGACTCCCCGGTCCTCCCAAAGCAGTGTCTGTGGACAGTACAGATCTCCTCTGTAATGCAGGAGATGTGACTTACCATGTGCATTGTCACTCACAATTCAAGAAAGGTTTGATCTGTGTTTTTCATGGTGGCTTAACTGTGGTTAATAATGCTTCTCAGGTCTAAGCATGCTGACTTTCTGGGATCTGACTTGTTTAAACTTTAGTGCTTTTTTTATATGGTATATTGTTTCTGTACGAAGGCCAAAAAGCAGCTTTTCCAAATACCACATTACTGTTCAACAGTGTTCTGCTGCTGTGACTTTTATTTCAGGGCATTCTGGGATTTTATATTTGCTTTTAAATGAGTGCATCAGCAGCTTTAGTGCTGTCTCTTCAGTGTCTGTGGTGGAAGTTGCCATAGCCTTATGCAGGTTTTCCCACTTGAGATCCCCAAGTTCCCCAAATCGGCAAGCTGGTGTAGAAATTCCTAGCACCAGATGTTGGAAATGACAATGCAAATTCTTGGTGCAGACTATGGGACATAACTGAACATAGTTTTAAGCGTTGCAGTGCTGGCTGAGGAGGGCCTTGTTCTGAATGCTGTTTTTATTTCTTTATGTAGCAAGGAGCGTGCAGCTGGTCCTGGTTCAGGGACAGCAGCTGGTCTTGCAGGTGGACACCATCGGGAAGCATGGACTACAAAAGGACCATCATATGAGGACTTGTATACCCAGAATGTTGTCATCAACATGGAGGACCAGGAAGATACCAATCGGTCTGCAGGTGAAGGAAGACCAGCCAGAGAAAGGCCTATTTGGCTACGGGAGAGCACGGTGCAGGGGGCTTATGACCCTGATGAAATCAAAGACGGTAAGAAAATTCACAGAGCAGAAGTACTGCTTTGCTTACATGATGCTTTTAGAATGCTGTCAAAACCATGTTCCCCTGTGTGTTTAGAGCTGCTGTTCCCAACACTCCAGATTTTGCCTGCTCCCCTTTGCTATGCAAAGCACCTATGTGTAGATAGACTTAAAAATTCCTGATTTATTAGATCCAGGATTGAAACTGGGGTCAGTAAAGCCGAGCTGTCCAGAAACTGGTTCCTGGGCTGCTAAGATGTTAATTATCTGTTAACGTCTTCCATGTTGAAACCTCATTGCTTCCGGATGAAGGTCTTCATCTGAAAGGCTGCCTCTTTATTAGGTCACTGCTGAAAAATAACATTTAGTCACATTCGGTGACTGTGAAGCCTACCAAAGCTACCAGCAGTGGGTTTGTGCTACCAGCCTTCTTCTTAGCAGTTGGTTTTCAAAATGTGTTTTATATAGGATCATAGAATAGTTAGGGTTGGAAAGGACCTTAAGATCAGTTAGTTCCAACCCCCCTGCCATGGGCAGGGACACCTCACACTATGAAGAGCATGTCAGAAATACAGCTTCTGGAAGTACAGTAGGAAGGTCTGTCACCATGGCAGGTGAGTCTGTATTGCTTTCTGTTTGCTCCTCATTACCTTTGCTTCTATTTTCATTCATGTTGGGCTCAGATTGTCCATGGACCATAGTCAAGATCCTGTAGCCACCAACAGAAGCATTCTGCTTTGGTAAGCGTGCTATTTAAGCTTACCACTAAAAACAGGAAGTGGAGACCTTGTATGATTTTTACAAGAGTGAATCAGTAGATGCAATATTCCAAGTCATTTCAGCATTATAGACCAAAAATGTTTATGCTTTGGAAGGGAAGATGGCAAAGGCAACTGCACAGGTGTGCATGAGACCTCGGAAACAGCAGTGCTCCGAAGAGAAGTGAAGCATACAGGCCTAGAGGAAGTGAAGAACATGGATGTGGAATAATGCTCAGAAGATATCAGATGATCTTGTTCACATGCAACGCCTTGGATCCCAAAAACATATGGATCCCAAAACATTTTCCAAATAAAGCAAGTGAGGTGATTGGAGCAAGCTCTTCCTGAAGTCTGTAGCAGATGTTGTTGTTACTCATCAGCCACGGTGAATTCTCACCCCATTTCTCTGCGAGACGTTCAAGTCACCAATTCACCTGTAGTGTTAAATTGGCTTCTTGACATGACTTCTGGTGTACACAGCATAAATGTTTCTCAGATACCACTGAGTGACATGGAGGAGGACCATATCTTCTTTCAGCATGGTGGCATCACTGCTTAACCTCCACCACTACTGAAAAATGATAGAAGGCACTTTTGTAAATAGCCTGAAATTGCTGCTGTAACACATTTCTACAACTCTTGGATGACATAAACAGGGAGAATGGAAACTTGGGACCACTGACAGACAAGATTCAGTGCTTGGATCTGGAAGGAACAGTTCTTGCAAGAGACAGCCCCACTTCCGAGTCACGAAGTCAGACTTTGTGGAGCTGCTTCAGGCTGTTGTCACTTAACAGCTCTCAATGTGATGAGCTATGATATAATTTCATGGAGGGGCTGTCCAATAGCATCTTATGCTCTGCAGTCACAAGCAGTGAGCTGAGCGCAAGGCTGCCAACACAACACCTTTATTCTCGCTTCCTATGAAGAATTTTCCCAATAATACTAGAAGATGTAGCCATCACCTATTACTACAACTTTATTTACCATTAAAACATCCTTGTCTCTGAACTGGAGGGGCATGGATTTGACAGATGGATCACTTGGTGGGTAACGAATTACCTGGATGGTCACACTCAAAGAGTTGTGGTCAGCAGCTCAAGGTCCAGGTGGAGACAGGTAATGAGTGGTGTCCCTTGGGGGTCAGTGTTGGGACTGATCCTGTTCGACATCTTTGTCGGTGACAAGTGCAAGGTCCTACACCTGGGTGGGAGCAATCCCAGGCACAGCTACAGGCTGGGCAGAGAAGAGATTCAGAGCAGCCCTGCGGAGAAGGAGTTGGGAGTGTTGGTCAATGAGAAAATGAACATGAGCCAGCTTCAGTGTGTGCTTGCAGCCCAGAAAGCCAACCGTATCCTGGGCTGCATCAAAAGGAGCGTGACCAGCAGGTCAAAGGAGGTGATCCTGCCCCTCTACTCTGCTCTCGTGAGACCTCACTTGCAGCACTGTGTGCAGTTCTGGTGTCCTTAACACAACAGGGATGTGGAGCTGTTGGAGTAAGTCCAGAGGAGGCCACAAAGATGATCAGAGGGCTGCAGCACCTCCCCTATGAAGACAAGCTGTCCAGCCTGAAGAAGAGAAGCTGTGAGGATACCTTAGAGCAGCTCCCAGTGCCTAAAGGGGATACAAGAAACCTGGAGAGGGACTTTTTAAAGGGCATGTAGTGACAGGACAAGGGGGAATGGCTTTAAACTGGCAGAAGGGGGATTGAGGTAATGTAGGCAGAAGCTCTTCCCTGTGAGGGTGCTGAGGCACTGGTACAGGGTGCCCAGAGAAGCTGTGGCTGCCCCATCCCTGGCAGTGTTCAAGGCCAGGTTGGACACAGGGGCTTGGAGCAACCTGCTCTAGTGGAAGGTGTCCCTGCCCGTGGGAGGGGTTGAAACTGGATGAGCTTTAAGGCCCCTTCCATTCTGTGATTCTATAAAACACAAGTTCAGTGAAGTTAGTGGTGCGTTTTTTTGGCAGGACCTCCATGGTTTCAGCACATCCATGCAGGTGGTGCCCAAGCTTTTCTCTGCTATAGGGTGCAGTCTGCATTGGTTATGGGGTCTTTTCAACACAGAATGAAAAAAATGCTGTGAAACAGGTAAACTAAGGAAGTCTTTCATTTAGCACTAAAAGCCAAGGGAATTCATGGTCACTCCTTTCCTGTGGCTTACCAGACATGGGTTCTTTGAATGTTGTTCCATAATACATGGTTTCCATGTACCCTGTGTCTGCCTGGATTCATCAGCTTCTCCACATTAACCCTTACAGATGGGGAGCTCAGCGGGGCAGGGCCTGGGTTTGGATCTGTATTTATGGTCTCTGCTGGCAGCACCCTGTGATTTTGGTCATCACAGCAAGTCCTTCAGGCTCTGGTCATACAACCTGGAAACAAAGGAACAAGAAGAAAGAGCTTGTGCTTGTTCACCTGTGAAACAGCACTGAGGTGCTTGTTGTATCTCTGGCAAGCATCATCATTAGGTGCCCAAATGATCCAGGCATCCGGAAGCCTGGATTTAGAACCCAAAGATTGCTTTCTGCTCCACAGTACAGAAAGTGCATCAGCCCAGCTGAGGGGCACCCGAGCTGACACCTCAGGAATGGGAGGGGGAGTCTTTTCCAGGTGCCTGCCTATGATGTGTTTGTTGCTTTCTCTTGCCATGTGCTCCTGGCCAAGGCTCCCAGCTGGGAGCCACAGTGACTCCAGGCCTCCCAGCTCCTACGAAATGTCAATACTTGCTTTGCTGTTATGAGAGAAAAAACATAACTATCTCTTGTCTTTTAAAGGAGCAGAGGAACTGGCATAGAACAAAGGTGTGACTTGGTTGAGCGTGCTCAGTGGCAGCAATTCACACGGGTCCAGAAAGCCTTCAGGTCTGTGTCCCAGAATCTCAGTGAGGAAACAATCATTCCTTTGTGTCTCTTTGCAGGGGGCAGGGATGTGGATGCCTTCCAGGAGCGTGAGGAGGGCCGGGCAGCTCTGGATGATAACGAGGAGGTGATGCGTGCCCTGCTCATCCACGAGAAGAAGACACCTTCTGCCTCAGCAGTCACTGTCGGAGGCGGCGCTCCTCTCTCTGGTCCCAATGCTAGTGACTCCGAGAGTGAGACAAGTGAGTCGGAGGAGGAATCCCCTCCCCGCCCTCCCACAACAGCCACCTCAGTGTACGGGCTGGAGGAGGAGGATGAGGATGAAGAGTTCGAGGTGGTGGCAGAAGACCCCACTGTGATGGTGGCTGGGCGCCCATACTCGTACAGCCAAGTGAGCCAGCGCCCTGAGCTGGTGGCCCAGATGACACCAGAGGAAAAAGAGGTTTACATAGCCATGGGGCAGCGCATGTTTGAGGACATGTTTGATTAACTGCTGCCCCGCCATGGCGTTTTTCATCAAGTGACTTTTTAATCCACAAACTCCCTAGTGAAACACAAGACTGAAGGGCACCTTTCCTCCCCTGTGTGCAGGAACACTGGTGCTTGGGACTGCTAATCTCAGGTATCTTGCTTACCAGAGTGGGGGAGCAGGAAGGCTGCATGTGCCAAAACGTGGGGTAGGACAAGACTCACAAGTGAGGATGAAGGTGAAAATTGCTTCAGGGTGCCCTGCACAGGCACCGCTTTAACCTTCTCCAAGGCCCCAGCAGCTGCCTCCCCCCAGTTGCTTTGAGTTGATTCTTATTGCAGATCCTATTGAAGTTCAGATCCCTGTCCACAGAGGACGAAAGGGCTCTGTAGTCTGAGCAGAGTACTCTGCAGAGGAGGACATAAATGAAATTACACTGCCTGTACCCAGTGAGGATTGAGGAGAGGGAAGCGCTCACCTGCTGATGGCAAGCTTGGGCAGGGCTTGTAGCTGAGCTCCTACCAGCCACTGGCCACCAGAATGGCTCTTTCTAAGCAGGCCTGTAGGTAGCAACCTTTTCTTGCTTCCTAGGTCTCAGCCTCTCACGGCCATTCTTTGCCAGTGTAATAAAAGCCCTTTGTGGGCTTTAACTCTTAGAGCGCTCTGGCTTATCAGGAGATACCTTAACTTTCCAGTATTGTTGCCTGTTGCTTCTGCCTAGCCCTGTCCAAACTCCAGTGTTGCAGGCGGTTCCTAGTGGTCAGGTCTGCAGCCAGGCAGTGCCAGAGGAACAGCCTGGCTACTTTTAATTTGCAGTCACACCAGGGCTGTCTCATTTTAAGAGGAATTATGCAATTCTGAATTCTGCTTGGGCACGCTCTTTCCCCATAGCACCCCATGAATCAGTGCCTAAGGAGCAATAGCAGATTTGTAATATGGTTTTTCAGAATGGGTGTGCTTTCCTATCAAGTACTGCAATAAACCAAAATGATACCAGGGTTCGTGTTCCAGAGGGCAGAGGCAGTGTTATGTGCTATTCCACTTCCCATGGGCAGCACCCATTCACTGTTCACTGAGACTGTACATTTGTTTTATACTCTCTGCTTTCTGGGTTCTGCTGACCATGTAATGCCTCCTTCGTGGTTTTATTTCCAGCTTCTGGATACTTTGAATCCCCTCTTTTTTAAAATAGGACATTATATTTGCTTTTAAAGCTGTTTTAAAGAGGAACAAATAAACAGAAACTTCTCCCCTTTGTCATTACCCGTTTGTCACGTTGGGAATGTTGTTTGCCTATCGTTTTGAGTCACTTGTTTCAAGAGAAAACATCACTTTGAGGCTCTCCTTTGAGGGATGGAGTACTTGAAATCCCGCCGCACATTGTTTCTCCTCACCAGAGCTTCCTTGACCATCTCCTGGAATCTCCTGCACTTCCAAAAAGGACATTTCATTATGGTGCTGTGGGAGGCCCTTTATGGTCAGGACTTCCACTCTCTTTCTCCTTCCTTGAGGGAAGCAAAGGCCGATGGTGGAGGTCTCACAAACATCGTATTGATAGTTGAAGTGGCACTCTTGTGTAGACAGACACCCGAGATTTGGTGTCACGCTTCTAGATCTCAAGCTGCAGGGCTGGTAAGTCAGATCCAGTGATCAGGTACCAGAAGAAAAGGTGCTGTACTGATTCTGTCTGGGTTTAATCTGGTTGAATTCAAGGTTAACATTGGAGAAAAACAGCCAGATGTGTAAGGAGACAGACAAACTGAGAACTAATCCTGAGTACAGTACAGTTACTCGTGCTTGTAACTCAGTAGCTTAGACTGAGATTTTAGTCTGCAAAATCAAATTATAGGTTTATTGAAGCTGAAGTGAAGAAATACTGGGGTTTACCACGAAAGCACTGATACTCCATCTGTATCCAGAATAATCACCTATGAAGTAGTGTTTTTACTTAATAAACACATTCAGTTTGGTTTGTACAGCAGTTGTAATCTTTGTTCTTCAGCGAGGTACGTCCTGCACATGAGGGAATCAGTGTGGTGGTGTAAAGAGCATGCCTTCCATCCCTCATCTGTCACAGGGAGGACTCGGGAGGTCAAGATACATGAGCAGAGGCTGTCAGTGTTTCCTGCCCTCTCTAACAGCTTCTGGCTCTCAGCAAGGATGGCTGCTCTGCTCCATCCCAGCCAGTTGGGGCTGTTGTTGAAGGACTGGCACTGCCCTGTCATTACAAGCACTGCTTAGATCTACAGCAGCACATACAGTCAGTAGTGCCTCTTTGTTTTCTGCAGTCGAAGGAGGGCTGTGCACGTGTGCCAGGAGAGGAAGAGTGGCCACTGCTGCAGGCAGTGCCAGATCAGTGCTAATGCAAAGGGATAAAGCCATCAATTCCAAGGAAGGTCCCAGCCATTTCCTCTGGCTGCTGGACCACATGTGCTGCATTAAGGCTAACCTAATAACACCAGGAGCATGGCTGAGCACTGAAGCCTTCCTGAGTGAATGTTCTGACTCCATTCAAACCAGTTACTGTATCTGCTTTCAGCCTCAAGTGCGTTTTATCTGATGCATGCCCTTGAGGCCAGGGCACTGCAGCTGAGGCTGGAAATCAAAACTGTTCCTTAAGCAGTTCATACTCTCTTCCCAAAGGTTGGAGGTGTCTCTCCCAGCTGGGTGAGAGCTGGCTATGTCCCTGCTCCTGTTGTGGGTCAGGGAAGCCACAGCAGTGATGTGCTCCCTGGCCCAGCATAGCATGCCAGAGCAGATCTGTGAAGCTGATGTTGATGGGAAGATAACTGTCAGTGCAGAACAGGAGTGTTTTAATCTTTTTTACTAAGCTCCCAAAACCTGGTTTCCTCCATCCAGCTCCTCCTGTGCTGCTGCCTCTTTCACACAGATTAAACAGACTGTTGCTCTCTGAGAGCTGAGGGATTTGAAGAGGAAGGGCAGGAAAACGTCATCCCCTCCTTCCTAAGACATCTAAGGAGCCCTGCCTCGGTGGTGCCTGCAGTGCCAGCGTGTGCTGGGGACACGTTGACAGGGTTGGAGGGGGGAGCAGCCTCCTGCGCTCCAGTCTCTGTCTCCCACTGTGTCCCCACAGGAGGAGAGAGAAAAATTGCCTCAGGAATCAGACGTAAGACGAAGCCTTCATGCACATGGGAAGTTTATGGGCTGGTGGAAGGACATGACAGCAGCAGGGCAAGCTGGGCTGTGTTCTCCTGGTGGGGTTGTACAGGAGGAGAAGCAGCAGCAGCCCTGATGCTCTGTTCTGGTATGTGTCAATGTAAATGGGCTCAGTCCCTTGGAGAAGGGATGTGTCGTGCAGTGCTGTGAGAAGTTATTCTGGGCTGTTCTAGGACTGGTATTGCCTTATCCCAACTGGAAGATCAGGGCAAGATAACCATGTCCCTGGCTTGTTTACAGGAGGTTTTGGGAATCGATCTAAGCATAAGATGCTTAAGCATCACCATACACTCTAGTTTCAAATATACTGACTGTGAGTCAACACAGCCTCTTCTTCAGGAGCACAGGGGCTGAAGAGCAGCTTCTGCCTGCTGAGCTGCTTCCAATACAATGAAGTGCAAGGAGATTGTCACTCACACAGTCCTGACAGGAGGCACAGCCAGATGCTTGAGCTGTTCTAGATGTGATTGCACAGAGAGCTGTGGAGAGGTCACTGCCTACAAAGAGCTGCAGCCCAAGGTGTGGGGAGTGATACCTGACTGCTGGTGTTCCTGGAAAGCCTGCAGGGAGCAGAGCAGAGAGCAGGGCTGTCAGGGACAACAACCCTGTCACTGTGGCAGAGCTATTTTCACTCCCTTTCAAAGTATTCTGGGCTTTTGCCTGTTTGGGATAGCTAAATGAGCTGCCAGAAAGTGGTTTCTTATTTACCAGCATTAATTCAATTGGGTGAATGTACCTAATTTATATTTAAACAATCAGATTTTGGAAGCGCCTGCTGTATCATTAAATAACGTATCAAGGACAGCGAGTTTGTGTGCAGCCATCCTGGAAGCAGCAGACAGAGGGTCTCTGAACAAGGTGCTTTAAATATAACAGGTATTTTTGCTTAAAATATGTTTGTGACCTAAATATAACGTGATTTCCATCCCTTTGAACAGTTGGATGCTAACGAACCAGCCAGGGATGGCAGAGAGGAGGCTGAGCAAGCTGCATGGGAAGCGACTCAGCTCCACTGCAGTGCATGAGAGACCCTGGCAGCACACAGATCCTGCCCAGTGCTGACCACAACAGCAGCAGGAAACATGAGGCTGCTCAGGCAGAGAAACAGGCAGGGATCCAGCCAAAAAACGGGTTGGTCAAATACTGTTTCATGAGTGTTAATGCCTGTGCACTCACCTGGCAAGGAGGAACAATCACGTCTCATACAGATGCGAACAGAGCCCTGACATACTGCTTCTGCTGTTTCTTCAGCTGGAATCCATCTCGCTAGCCTCTGCCATCCCATCACTTGCTGGAAGAAGAAGAGTGAGCAGTGGTAATTTTGCAGTGAGGTAAAATTGTGCATAGAGCCAAGGAGCCTGGCTCAGTGCCACCCGGTAAAGGAATCCTCCTGATCCAATGCCAAACTTGCCAGGCACTGCTAGCAGGGTCCATGCTTTTCCTATGTCCTCTTAACATACATACATACAGTATGGGGGGAAAGTATGCCAAACACCATTTAATGGCTGCAACCATCTGACCTGTGTACTCTTGGGTTTCAGTGTCTGACCCAGCCTTGTCCCATCTGGGGGACCAACAGGTTGGATCCTTTTGGTTGGATTCTCCATACCTGCCCTTTCCAAAGGTTGCTGCTCTTTGTCTGCCAGTCAGTGCTGATGGGCTCTCATAAACTCAATCCCTCTGTGATCACACACAGGTCTCAATTGAAGATGACATTTCAGCCCCTTCACCACCACCAAGCAGCTCTGTCCTTGTGCCATGGGGGAGAAGATGGGTTCAATCCATTGACTGATCCCAGAAGTTACTGTGAAGTCTTCCCTATCTCCCCCCTCTCTCATTCTCTTTTACGCTGTTCTTTCCTCACAGGTGGAGCTTGAGTAACTCTGGTCACACATTATTATTTTATTATGTTATTAGTGTCAAA